AGAATTATCTTATGTAGACTACAGAGGTAATGCTTAACTTCCTATGTCTAGAGATAGCAAAATCTATTCCTAATGAATAAAGTCATTAAGTCAATATTCAAATATTTATTGAGCATATGCTATGTGCCAAACTATATCCTAAAATACTGAACTTGAGACACACCCATGAATAAGATAGAAAGCTTTATCTCTGGTGGGAAGAGACAGACAATAAGCACACACAAAAAAAGAGTTTAATTAAAAACCAATTTCCGAACATTCAAGTTTAAAGAAAAAAAAGCTAAGCCCACCAACACCAACACATTTTCACCAAGATTCTGCTGCTCTAGCAGCAAGACAAGGCAGACCATCTTCGGGTATAATTTATAGTTGGGTCACCCTGGGTCACTCTGACTCAGAACAGCTGTGCATCTAAAGCATACCCAGCAAACAGGCTGGGAGGACGTCGTGGACACTTGTCTTATCTGATTAATACCATCTAACTGTTTAACTTATTCTTCAACAACCAAAGATTTTGGTAATAAGTCTTCCAAGATGGTTTTCAGGTGTTGAGAAATACTATTTTGTAACCAAGAAGATCCTGTGGGAAGCCGCTTTGCTCAAATCAGACATTCCAGGGAAGAAGACTAGGAGAATATGCATTCCGACTCCGAGCTTCTTAGTATTTCAGTTACCCTCTACCCAACCAAACACACCAATGTAAGATTATTTCAGCTTCCCCCTTCCCACTCATCTATTTATTTCTTCCACTTTCCCTGAGACCTGTAAGAAAGGTTCCTGTGGCATTTGCTCCAAGCCTGATGAAGACATGCTTCATTGTGACCTCAACTTGACAGGAAACTACCCCAACTCCAACATTTTGCCAGGAAATGCTGTGCTTCCCTTGAGGACCTGTTAAATTTTTTCATCGTTTATGAGGCACAGTGCTGTTTCACTTTTCATTTTAGCTCCCAAGATGCATTCAAGGGCCTGGCTCAACCTATAGAGTATCTGTAGGGCCCATTAATTTATGAGTGTTTCCATTCTCCACCGAACCATCCATACCAGTGTCTGCATTTTCCCTGGCCCTTCTGCTCTCTGATGGTTTTTGTAAACTACAAGTTATTGATCATTTGGTGTCATTTTTTTTTTGTTATTAAAGAAACTTTGTTCATATTCCAGGCTGAAAGTTTGGAACTCAGGCTTCTTTTTAAGGCTGTTTCACAAAACTTCCTGCCTATTAAAAAAAAGTTAAGTTTGGCTGGGCGAGGTGGCTCACCCCTGTAATCCTGGCACTTTGGGAGGCTGAGGTGGGTGGATCACCTGAGGTCAGGAGTTCAAGACTGGCCTGGCCATCATGGTGAAACCCCATCTTGAAAAAAAAATTTTTTTTAATTAAAAATTTAAAAAAATTGGCCGGGCGTGGTGGCTCACGCCTGTAATCCCAGCACTTTGGGAGGCCGAGGCGGGTGGATCACGAGGTCAAGAGATCGAGACCATCCTGATGAACATGGTGAAACCCCGTCTCTACTAAGAATACAAAAATTAGCTGGGCATGGTAGCGCACGCCTGTAGTCCCAGCTACTAGGGAGGCGGAGGCAGGAGAATTGCTTGAACCCAGGAGGCGGAGGTTGCGGTGAGCCGAGATCGCGCCATTGCACTTCAGCCTGGGTAACAAGAGCGAAACTCCGTCTCAAAAAAAAAAAAAAATTAAAAAAAATTAAGTTTGTATGTTCTGACATATATTATCTAATCTTTATTTATTTAATTATTTGAGACAGAGTCTCACTCTGTTGCCCAGGCTGGACTGTAGTGGCGCAATCTCGGCTCACTGCAACATCCGCCTCCCGGGTTCAAGAGATTCCCCTGCCTCAGCCTCCCGAGTAGCTAGGACTACAGGCACATGCCATCACAACCGGTTAATTTTTGTATTTTTAGTAGAGACGGGGTTTCACCATGTTGACCAGGCTGGTCTCGAACTCCTGACCTCAGGTGATCCGCCCGCCTCTGCCTCCCAAAGTGTTGGGATTACAGGAGTGAGCCTCTGCACCTGCCCATGAATCATCATCTTACCAATCAAGTGTCTTAGAAGATTTTTCCCTGAAATTTTACTGATTAAAGTATTTAAAATCAGAGACCTCCTCAATTCATTGATGAACTGTTTTTGCAGCTAGAATATTACATAACAAGACCAAAAGCTATTAATACAAACCAAATACTTAAAGACACAGGGACATACAAATCTAAGAAATATAATACCAACAGGCCAGGCGCAGTGGCTCACGCCTGTAATCCCAGCACTTTGGGAGGCCGAGGCGGGTGGATCATGAGGTCAAGAGATCGGGACCATCCTGGTCAACATGGTGAAACCCCGTCTCTACTAAAAATACAAAAAATTAGCTGGGCATGGTGGTGCGTGCCTGTAATCCCAGCTACTCGGGAGGCTGAGGCAGGAGAATTGCCTGAACCCAGGAGGCAGAGGTTGCGGTGAGCCGAGATCACACCATTGCACTCCAGCCTGGGTAACAAGAGCGAAACTCTGTCTCAAAAAAAAAAAAAAAAAAAAAGAAATATAGTACCAACAACTAATTTTCTGTTACTAAGAGCTAATAGCTACAATACAGTCACTGAGTATTGACTGTAAGCCAGACACATCTCCACAACATGGTGTTTTGGGGTGGCAATTATTGTTTTCCCCTGTTCTACAGATTAGAAAGGAGACGGAAGTCAAGTAGCTTGCCTAGCATCACAGAAGACAGAAGTGGCAGAACAGGGACTAGAACTCACAAATGCTTGACCCCCAGGTCTACTCCACACTGTCTCCCCAGGACGTTTCTACACTTCTTTGTTAAATGAGATTGGGGGTGGATAGGGGTCATCTGGCATTCAAGCCATGTATCAATTATGCAAATAAAGAAAAAGCAGGAAGGAATCGAAAGGTCAAAACCACGCAATGTCACTTTTGCATATACTCCACCTTTCGCCTGGGAGTCCTGAGGCCTCAGTCATGGCTATTTGATTCCCAGGCCCAGAACAGATCAGAAACAGGATCACAAAAATAATCACAATGTCAAGAAGTGAAAGGTGGGTAGCAAAAATGGAGGGAAGGGCTGGGCACCTTGGCTCATGCCTGTAATCCCAGCATTTTGGGAGGCCGACGCAGGGGGAACTCACCTGAGGTCAGGAGTTGGAGACCAGCCTGGCCAACATGGCAAAACCACGGGGTTTCTACTAAAACACACAAAAATTAGCCAGGCATGGTGGCAGGCGCCTGTAATCCCAGCTACTTGGGAGGCTGAGGCAGGAGATTCGCTTGAACCTGGGAGGTGGAGGATGCAGTGAGCTGAGATCTCACCACTGCACTCCAGCCCAGGAGACAGAGCAAGACACCATTTCCAAAAAAAAAGAAGGTGACAGTAGAGCTTGTATAAAACATCTCCAAGTACTTCCCTCAACACTTTAAGTTAAAATTCTTAGAACAGTCCAACTTCTGTGACCTTGAGCAAATCTTTCTGAGCTTCAGTGTACTGATCTGTAAATGATGTTGGATAATCCCAGCAATCCTCCTCACCTTACAGGACTGCTCTGCTGTTAAGATCAAAAGACTTCCTGTGAAAGAATACTGTCTGAATGGACCTCAGAAATGAAAAGGGGTTATTAAAAAATGGGCTCAGTGCTTAAAGGGATAAACCCACAGCCTTCATAACTAACTTTCCAAAGGTTCTAAAAACTGAGGTTTTACTGTTTTTAAACATTTATAATAATTATGATAGTAATCTAGCCTGTGTATGCATTTCCTTGGGTCTACTCAGTAGTAAGCAGGAAAAGGGCAGAAGCTGCTACATTAGTCAGCAAAAAGCAAATTTGCATGAATATTATTAACATCCAAGAAAAGTAAGTCACTTGAAGGACTGCCAATGTTATCAGTGCCTCAATTACAATGCAAAAGGTAGTAGAGAGACCCAACTGCTGCCGGCCAAGAATCACTGGGGGGAATTACAATTACTGTGCACAACTAGGCCAAAGTAGCATGTCCAACATTTCAGACATGCGGATTCTTCTGCAAAGCTTCCTAAAGTTCGGTTTTTAAACCCTAGGAGGAAGGGAGCATTAACTTGTTACAAACTTTTCCGTTGGTGAGGTTTGCACTCAATCATACACAAACTGCTTACCTTTCTGCACTCTAAAAAACTGTTTAGCAAACTGTTGTCTACTATGGGCAACACGTTTGAAAAGGACCTGAACGTTTCCATTTTCGATACACGGACTAAAATCATCTCCTTGCTTCAAGGCCGGTATGATGCGCAGACAAGAGCCACAACTCTCCCTTGGGGTAGGACAACCGTGCGCTTCATTACCTCTACATAATTCGCGTCACACCGCCTACACCCGCGGCCCCAGGATGTTCCAGCTCTGACAATGCCAGTGCCTTCTACCAGCGGTGGGACGGTGCGGTGGCAATCCTGACATGCTTGGGCTCCCGGGAGGTTAATGGGAATTAAAACACAGCAGCCCTCCTTTGTGGCGCTTTGGCCAGAACAGCAGAAGGGAGACAATGAGCGTTCTGTGCGCAGTTCCGCGCCGATTGGCTGGTCTCTCCCCCTAGAAACCCCTGATGTCATGGGCTTGGAATGCAGAGAGGGAGGAAGGAAGGAGAGGATTTGGGGAGGGGGACGCCTCTCATCTCTTTCCCAGGCCAAAAGTCCCAAAGATAAACCTAACGCATTCTTGGGCTCAGTGGCAAAGCTGAGCGTCACCAAATCCCAGTCGCCTCAAACTATAAGCCGCCTCAGCAAACAAGCCCTCAACAAAAGCAACACACAAAAATACTCCTTGATGCCGTGAAAGTCTAATGTACTACAAACTTCTGTGTTTTATAAAAAGCAGACATCACTCCCACAGCGGCGCGCTCAGGCTTTGTCTCCATTTTTCGCAAAAGCAGCAGCAGCAATCTGCCTCTGAATGCTTCCCAGGCACTGAGATCGAAGACTGCGGTGGGTTCCGGACCGGCTCCCGTTCTTCGGGGGAGGCCCTGGGGTCGGCGGGACACCAGGCGGTCTCTCTCCCTGGGGGGAGGCGCGAGGTCCCCCAGCAGCCGGGGCCCCAGCAGATGGCGGGGGCTGCAGCAGCGGCTCGCCGGGTCCCCAGCCGCGCGGACGGGCCCCGCCTAAAGGCGAGTGGCCACGCAGGAGCGCCCCCTTCCCGGAGGGCGCGTCCTGCAGCCACCAAACCGCCCCAGAGACCCCCGCAGCCGGAAAGGCCGGCGCCGCGGGACTCCGGGCGCCCGGGAACCCACCGCCCGCCACTAGTGCTGTCCCACGGCGCGGGAACAAAGCCAGGCGGGTGCCCGGGAGCCGGCGCCGCGAGCCTGGGGACGGGACGCGAGTGGGACAGGCAGCTACGCTGGCGCCGCCTCGACGTCCCCTCTCGGGAAAACGGTGAGCCACAGCGCGAGGGGTGAACGAGGCACGGCCCCGCGCCGGGCCAGTCCGAGGGTCCCCCGGGCGCGCCTCGCACCTCTCGCCCCGGGGGTCCCGCGCCCGCCCGGGCCGGGCGTACCTTGTTCTTGACCTCGGCCGAGAGCCCGTAGGAAGGGCCCTTGTTGAAGTGGGTCATGGTCGTTCGGGCGGCGGGAAGAGGCTGCGCTGGGGTCCCGGCTCTCTCGCACTTCGCTTCCCGGCTCCTAGCCCCGAGAAGTGGCCGCCGCGGGGGATGCTCCGAGCTCGCTCCTCTGGGCGGCGCAGGAGACGGTCGCGGCCGCGGGGCGGTGCCTGGGCGACGGGGTCCGACTGAGTCCGACTGAGTCCGACTGAGCGCCGCAGAGCTCCGGGGTCCGCTCCGACGCGCCCGGCTCCACGCTCGCCGCCCGCCTCGCTCGCCGCCCGCACCGCGCGTCCCCTCTGGCCGCCCCCGCCTCCGCCCGGGCCTTCGGGGATTGGCCGCCGGGCCCGACCAATGGAGGGCCGCCTCCTCCCGCCTCGGCGCCGAGGAGCGGCGCGGCCAATTGAAGGGCCGCCGGCCCCGCGCCCCTTCCCGCTCCCTCCCCGCGCGGTCCCCGGCCCCCGCCCCAGCCCTCACGCCACCCGGGCCGGCGGAGAGGCGGCCCCGCCCCCGAGCTAGGGAGGGCGGCTGAGGCTTCCCAGCCACCTCCAGGCATCCTCCGCGGCGGGCCGGGCCGGGCGGGCGGAGGGGAGCGGAAACCCACCGCGGCTGGCCTGCAGCTGACCCGCCGCCTCCGTCTGCCTCGTTCCGGGCTCCAGGCCTAGCGCGCCCCGATGCCGGGCAGGACCCCTCCGCCCGCTGCTGGAACACCGACGGCAGCCTCGGAGCCTCTGGGCCGGAGGAATGGGGCCTCCACCGACACCTGCCTGCTTCTTCTCTCACCTCGCAGCCTCCCACACCTGTTGGTCTGACCTCTGCCCCGCCGCTGCCACGGGGCCATTTCAGGCTTTTCACCTGGTTCGAGCTCACTCTATCTAACCCTCTAAATGCGGTGCGGAATAAAAAAAAATGAGGAATGTGCCATGGCAAAGCCTGGGCATTTCAAGTCCTCTTCCGGATTCTCATCAACCCCTCTGTACAGGCATCTTTATCCGGAATTCAGCTAGTCCCAAACCCCACTTGTGTTTTTGAATCCAGCAGCCTCTTTGAATCAGGAGTCCTTCCTATAGAGAGAAGTATCCTTTAGGCCAGAAGCAGCCTCCATTTTTTTCGCAGTCCCATTTCATACACAACACTTTCTTCTGATTTTAAAGCCATTTGATAGAGAAGGGACAAGAAACAACCTTTGTCCCCCATGTGCGCTCCTGGTAGACTAGATATCTTCCAGACATTATCTCATTTACTCCCCTGAAATTACTACTAGGTAGATATCATGTCCGTTGAGAGGTGAGAAAGCTGAAACTCAGCGACCTAAGAACCCTGGCTGAGGTCTGCCTCCTCTGAAGCTTCATCTCTTGCCACCACTTTCTGGTGCACACCTAGGACAGGTTTCAATCCCTGAGATCTTAGGATGAGAGTTCTTTTTGCCAAATACCAGCTGCTGTGCCAGAAGAGATCATGGAACCAGGTGTGGCGACCTGCTTGAGAAGAGGAGCCAAAACATCTCATCTTAGTTGAACTGTCCTGGAACAGAAGTGAGTAAGGTGGACCAGATGTGGTAGCACTTTGGGAGACCGAGGTGGAAGGATTGCTTGAGGCCTAGAGTTTGAGAACAGCCTGGGCAACATAGCAAGATCCTGTCTTTATAAAAACTCCAAATTAAAAAAAAAAAAAAAAAAAATGGGTAAGGCAACTTGAACTGGAAGTGCACAGAAATATCAATTTTGTAAGGCTTTTCCCAATGTCTTAGAGGGATGGAACCTGAAGGGAGGAGGAGGAGGCAAACAAGGAGGAAAGTGAAATGATTTATAAATGACTTGCTAATTTAGTCCAAAGGGAGTAATGATAATTAGGGCATTCTTCCCACACAAAGATGACACAATTGACCCACTATCATTGAGGCAAGCAGTTTGGGCTGTTTTTCCAGTTGTATGACAGTGACGGTGTGTCAACCGCAAGACCTCACCCACGTTTCTTTGGGACCTGGGAGTGTGGAAAATAACAGCCAGATTTGAGGTACAAATCGTGCTGCCCAGCCTGTAAAGCCTTTCGCAGCAATCTAAGCCTGACTGCTCCTGTTACATGGTCAAAGTCATTTTAATCTACTTTAGCTCATTCCTTGTAAAATATTCAAGAATTGTATTTTGTCTTGAAAAGCATGAATTTTATTGTTTATGGGAAGTTATTGTTTAAGGAGTACAGAATTTCAGTTTGAGGTGATGAAACAGTTTTGAAAATGGGTAGTGACCATGGTCACCCAACGTTGTAAATGTATTTAATGCCATTGTACACTTACAGGGCTTTAAAGTAAACATGAAATTTTCTGCATTTGTTTGACCAACTGTTATCCTCTCTAAGGTACTTGAAATTCTGACATTGCCACTGGAATTTACTATTTAAATATTGTTGGTCTTCTTGGGATTCCATCAGTACTCCAAGCCTTCCTTCATTTCTAATTTAAGTCATTGTGTAGGAATACCTAACGCTCTTGTTAGCACTAGGGAACGTATCTGAGTCACATGCACCAAAGTGTGTGAGCAGCAGCAAATCTGTATGGGTCTGCGGCAACCTCAATTTTGCCTCCTCGAAAGAAAGAATTCTTCCAAGAGACATAGGCAGAGGGAGAGACCAAGGCAAGTTTTAGAACAGTAGTGAAAGTTTACTGAAAAGTTTTAGAGCAAGAATGAAAGGAAATAATGTACACGTGGAAGAGGACCAAGCGGGCAACTTTAGGGATTCAAGTGCGCTGCTTGACCTTTGACCTGGGCTTTTAGACATTGGCATGCTTCCAGGGGGTTGTGTCCTGTCTCCCCTGATTCTTTTCTTGGGGTGGGCTGTCTGCATGTGCAGTGGCCTGCCAGCCCTTGGGAAGGGCCACATGCTCAGTTCGGTAACTGAAGTTGTGCGCATGCTCACTTGAGGCATTCTTCCCTTAATAGACGAGGGTTCCAAGGTCATATATTAGTACCAGTTAAATGCCGCAATTTTGCCCCTTAGTGCACGCCTGTGAGCCAGCTCTCCCAAACTCCTAAAATCTTTTCGGGAAGCTGCTGATTACCAGTTTTAGGTATTTTCTATCTATTGGGAGACTGCCTTTCCAATAATAATTGGTGCCAGCTGTGACCAATTATTTTAGAAAGGCAGTTTAACAACTGCCTGACCACCTGATGATTGATGATGATCACCACCTGACCACCTGACAGTCCTGCCCTGCTCATGTCTGACTGCCTACCTACTGTGACACTATGGAATTAAATGAGAACAACTTAAAATTTGGGATTATTTTAACAGCTTCATTGAAGTATAATTGATATACCACAAAGTCTACTTAACGTGTTCAGTTTGATACGCACATCCACATAGATATACTATTTAAAAACCCATCACCACAACAAAGGATATATTCATCACACTCAAAAGTTTCCTCATGTAACCCTCCCTCCCAGCCTTCCTTACCTCTCCACGCTGCCAGGCAACCCCTGATATGCTTTATGTAACTAGACATTAATTTGTATTTCCTAGAATTTTATATAATTGGAATCACACATTGTATACTCTATTTTATCTGGCTTCTTTTACTCGGCAAAATTATTTTGATTCCCTGATGTTGTAGCAGGTATCATTAGTTCATTTCTTTTATTACTGAGTAGTATTCAACTGTGGGGATACACCAGTGATTTTACCCATTCCCTTATTGATGAACGTTTTGGCTGTTTCTAGATTTGGGCTGTTGCGAATAAAGCTGCTATGAACATTCATGTACAAGTCTTTGTATGGACATATGCTTTCATTTCTCAGCAATAAATACCTATAAATGGAATGGCTGGATCATGTGAAAAATGTATGTTTCACTTTTTAAGAAACTGCAGGCTGGGCGTGGTGGCTCACACTTGTAATCCCAGCACTTTGGGAGGCTGAGGCAGGTGGATCACGAGGTCAACAGATCAAGACTATCCTGGCCAACAGGGTGAAATCCCATCTCTACTAAAAATATAAAAATTAGCTGGGCGTGGTGGTGCACACCTGTAGTCCCAGCATCTCTGGAGGCTAAGGCAAGAGAATCGCTCGAACCCGGGAGGCAGAGATTGCAGTGAGCCGAGATGGCGCCACTGCATTCCAGCCTGGCAACCGAATGAGACTGCGTCTCAAAAAAAAAAAAGAAAGAAAGAAACTGCAAACTTTTTGCAAAATGATTATACCATTTTACATTTCCACCAGTGTGTATGAGCGTTCCAGTTCCTCTGCTTCCTACCAACAGTTGGCAGGTCAATCTTTTTAAAATTTAGTCATAGATGTGGAGTATGGTATCTCATGGTTTTAATTTGAATTTCCTTAATACGTAATGATGTTGGGCATTTTTTCATGTATTTATTTGCCATCTGTGTATCGTTTTCATGAAATGTTTGTTCAGATCTTTTGCCTACTTTCTATTGGATTGTGTGTTTTCTTATTATAGTATTTAACTTACCACTGTTAGGGTACATTTCAAAAATCCTGACCAAGTTCTGACAGTAGAATGTGTCAGCAAATGCTCAGTTTAAGTAAAATGTCACAATCCAAACTAACTACCAGGGTGTGGCACAGCAATCTTAAGTACTTTACCTGGAAGCTTCTGTAATATGCTGAACACTTTGAATTGAAGTAAATGCTGTTAAAAGGGTCAACTCAACCTTTCCACATTTTCACTAATTAAAAGTAGCTGTTGGAGAGTTGCAGGAAAGTATTTTTTCATAGGCAAATGTGTGGGTCATATTGCCACATATCTTGCCACGAAAATAATAATATAAAGTGTTTTGGAGAATAAACCCTGTAAATCTGTCAGAGGCAGGTAAACCAAAGCTACTCCATCTTGAAAAGGAGCTGGGTAAAATGAGGCTGAGACCTGTTGGGCTGCATTCCCAGACAGTTAAGGCATTTTAAGTCACAGGATGAGGTAGGAGGTCGGCACAAGATACAGGTTGTAAAGACCTTCCTGATAAAACAGGTTGCAGTAAAGAAGCCAGCTAAAATCCACCAAAACCAAAATGGTGACGAGAGTGACCTCTGGTTGTCCTCACTGCTATACTCTCACCAGCACCGTGACAGTTTACAAATGCCATGGCAACATCAGGAAGTTACCCTATATGGTCTAAAAAAGGAGGCATGAATAATCCACCCCTTGTTTAGCATACAGGCGTGAGCCACTACACCTAGCCTTGAAACTGAGGTTTTTATTGTCTGTTGCCACAAAATGGCATCCTGCCCCTAGTCTTTTCCTCCTGATTCATGTCCAAAGCCTTACAGCAGGGCAGTTCCTTAAAAAATTAAATATAGAATTACCATAGACCTCTAGGAATATACCCAAGATAACTGAAAGCAGGGTCTGAAAGAAATCCTTGTATACCTTTGTTCACAGCAGCAGAGTTCACAGTAGCCAAAAGGTGGAAGCAACCTGTGTCCATCGGTGGGTGAATGAGAACTAGAAGTGGTATACACATGCAATGGATAAGATTTCCTTAAAAAGGAAAAAAAAAATTCTGACACATACTGGAACATAGATGAAACTTGAGGACATTATGCTAACTGAAATAATGCAGTCACAACAGGATAAATACAATGTGATTCCACTCTACTATAAAGTATTCCAAATACTGGGTGGTTCAGCTAGGGGATGAAGGGACCAGGTAGTGGGGAGTTATTGTTTAATAGCTACAGAGCTTCAGTTTTGCAAGGTGAAAATAGTTCTATGCATGGATGGATGGTGGTGATGGTAGCACAGCAATGTGAATATACTTAATGCCACTGAACTGTCACGTAAAAATGGTTAAGAGAATAATTTTTATGTATATTTCACCAAAATTTTAAAAAATATGATGCCTCAATAACTTGTCTAAATATGCACATGATCATAACTACCTTACTTAAAAGTCTAGTGGTTCTTCATTTGGCCACAGGCCAAGCCCAAGCTGTTTGACTTACAGAGTTCCTATAATGCTGATTTTTAAAAATCATATATGCAAAGCCCTTAATTATGCCCCAGTGCCTGACACAAGGTAATTGCTCAATAATTGAGTGTTATTAGCATGATTATTACTAAAACTATTATCTGGCCTCTCCTTACCTCTCTAATCTTGTCTTCTCTCACTTCCAACTCTGTGCTTTAATTCTAGAAACAGGCCCGAATTGACCATGCTGTTTCATACTTAGGTATCTTTAAATAGGTTTTTTTCCCCTCTGCTTCTATGAACATTTATCCTTCAAAATTGAATTCAGATATCTTCTTTCCCGGAACCCTTCCTTGTCTCACAAACCTCTGTGAGATTTATTTGGCCCCTTTTCTATGTGTCCTTTCTATTTTGTAAATGTTCGTATTGTTGCTGCTGACACAGTCTCATGTAATTTATTTGTTTACATGCCCCTTTCTAGACTGTGAGCAGATTTCGGGCAGAAAACTGTGTCTTCTTCACTGCATCATTCCCTAGGATCTTTTATTATTATTATTTTTTGAGATGGAGTCTCGCTCTGTTGCCCAGGCTAGAGTGCAGTGGCACAATCTCGACTCACTGCAACCTCCACCTCCCAGGTTTAAGCAATTCTCCTGCCTCAGCCTCCTGAATAGCTGGGAATACAGGCACGCACCACCTTGCCCAGCTAATTTTTGTATTTTTAGTAGAGACGGGGTTTCACTGTGTTGGTCAGGCTGGTCTCGAATTCCTGACCTTGTGATCCACCCGCCTCGGCCTCCCAAAGTGCAGGGATTACAGGCATGAGCCACCATGCCTGGCCCCTAGGATCTTATATTGAATATGCCATAAAGTAGATGGTCAACAAATGCTTGCCTGATGAATAATATGACAAGCATTTTCTTAGGCGTTTTTACAAATCTTATCCTATTTAATCTTCAAAATAACAATTAGAAGGAAATATTCTTGTCCTCATTTTTTTTTTTTTTTTTTTTTTTTCAGAAGAAGAAACAGATTCAGAGAAGTTAGTGACTTGTTTAAGGTCACACTAAGATCGGAACCTGAGTTTAGAGGGTTTTTTTTCTGCTTCTGAAATCTATGTTTTTCTTGCCACATTACATTAAGTCATTATAGTCTATAGTTTCCTCAGACAGGAAGTGTAAAGAACACAGAAGAGCAAGAGTGAAATTCTGGGGTTGCTCAGAGATTTGGGAAAAAAGAAAAAGAGAGCAAGTAAAACCACAAACAAAGAACACTAAAATGAACTCAGCAAACAAGGAAGAAGAAAGTTCTAAGGAAAAATGTGAGCAAACATACAAGGTAAATGCAGAAAGGAAAAGACCATTTATTTTATTTTTCAGTATGGTCCTTCTCACTGAGCAACCTCAAGACCACAGATCCAGTAGAAATCACATTTTGGGGTAAGGAAGAAAAGAGTCCATGAAGAAATGGAGGTAGCAGATTTAGAAAACTGTCTACAAGGCCGGGTGGCGGTGGCTCATGTCTGTAATCCCAGCATTTCGGGAAGCTGAGGCAGGTGGATCACTTGAGCCCAGGAGTTTGAGACCAGCCTGGGCAACATGGCGAAATCCCATCTCTATTAAACATACAAGAATTAGCCAGGCATGGTGGTGTGTGCCTGTAGTCCTGAGGATTGCTTGAGCCAAGTATGTCGAGGCTGCAGTGAGCACTGATCCTGCACAGCCTGGGTGATGGAGTGAGATCCTGCCTTAAAAAACCAGAAAGAAAGAAGAATCATCTACAGTGGAGGGAAGCTGAGAAGGGGGCAGTCCTTAACAAGTAGATAGCTGAGTTGAAAGAAGCAAAGGTGAATTGATAGGATTACTAAAGGCAGGGGCCAGGAGAGCTGAAGAGGTGACAGTTCTGGGGATGAAAGGGGCTAGCAGGTGCTGAGAGAGTGAAGTGCTCACTCATTCTGGACATGGGAAAAGAAGGCAGATCACCTCTCTCTTTAAAACTCCTCCTGCCAGCCCGGCGCGGTGGCTCAAGCCTGTAATCCCAGCACTTTGGGAGGCTGAGGCGGGTGGATCACGAGGTCAAGAGATTGAGACCATCCTAGTCAACATGGTGAAACCCCGTCTCTACTAAAAATACAAAACATTAGCTGGGCATGGTGGCGCGTGCCTGTAATCCCAGCTACTCAGGAGGCTGAGGCAGGAGAATTGCCTGAACCCAGGAGGCGGAGGTTGCAGTGAGCCGAGATCGCGCCATTGCACTTCAGCCTGGGTAACAAGAGTGAAACTCTGTCTCAAAAACAACAACAACAAAAAAAAACAACTCCTCCTGCCACTTTCTCCTTCTCATGATAGCTGTTCTTCCTCTCCTCATTCCCATATTCATTTATTCTCTCTCTCTCTCTCTCTCTCTTTCTCTCTCTCTCTCTCTCTGTTGTTTCTTCTGTCTCCTTGCCTTATTTCTGCTTGAAACAATCGGGAATACCTCACTAATTTTGTCCATTGTCATTCGGGTTTAAAGACATTGCTGATTCTCTAAATTTGGTGTTGACAATAAAACACAACATTTTGAACAGCAGCCATAGGACTTGGCAGTCCCAAAAGGGAATTCTGGAAGAGAGGAGAGGCCCCAGTCAGGGCTGTCTTTTCTGCAGTTCATAACCTTCACAAGACTTTTATGCAATGATTTCTGTGTGTGTATGTACTCAACTACATTTTGTGAGGGACAGGATTCCACTGCATTTATTTATTCTCAAAGGGAAAGAGGATCTAAATGGTTCTAGGCCCCACTGCCTTTTATAATACCTCTGTCAAATATAGGTGCTCAGTTTTAGCTTCTTT